TCAATATCCAACTCTTAGTAAAGTTGCTAAGGATGTATTGGTCATTCCCAGTAGCACCGTTGCTAGTGAGAATGTCTTTAGTCTTGGTGGGAGAGTTGTTGATCCTTTTAGAGCTTCCTTAACACATAAAACGGTTGAGGCTTTAGAGTGTATTAGTGATTGGCTTGGAGGAAATGAATTTTGTTTCCATAAGGAGCCTACACTTGATGAATTCTATTTCTACAAGGAGCTTGAATGCTTATAAAGAAGTAAACAATTTAATTTCCTCTTTTATTTTCTTATTATTTATTATCTATTAGACTACAATTCAATCTAAATGATTTGTGGTTTATTGTTTTAGGCACGGCTAATTTGGGAGGTGATGAGAATACAACATAAGAAAATGAAATGCCACATCCACCTCCACCTCCTCGACCACCTTAAGTTGAAGTTCAACAACGTGAAAATCAATCACTACCTCCACGACCACCCATTTTAAGGGGAATGGCTCAACCATCAACATCAAGGGGAAGAGTACAAGTACCAAGAAGAAGGGAGCATCATCAAGATCAAGGGGCTGAAGAGGCCAACAATCTTCATAAACTTTAAGCTTTGCTTTTTTGCTTTTGGTTTGTAACTTAATTATTTTGAAACTTTGGCTCGTAACTAATTTTTTTGCTTTTGGGTTTGTTACTTTATTTATTTTAAAACATTGGCTTGTAACTAATTTTTTTGCTTTTGGATTTGTTACTTAATTTATTTTTATTGCATGCGTGTGTAGTAGAAATTGAATAGGCAGATCACAGATGCTATTGTGCACAAATTCGTGCACGGATTGGTAGATTGGTTGTATACTTGTATGTCAAATTTTAGTCCAACATATTGGCAGATTGGCAGCCTGGCTATATGTCAAATTTTCAATATAAAAGGTTAAATTTTAGCCCAAAAGCATAATATGTCAAATTTTAGTCTAAAAGCCCAAAACCATTTCAGGATTCCCGATTTGTCCCGAAATCCCAAAACTATTTCAGGATTCCCGAAAAATTGGTTTGGGATTCTCGAAAATTTCGGTTTAGGAATCGGGACAAGGGTTTCGGTTTCGGTATCCCATACTGAACCACCCATACTTTGTATCGACTACTAGCTAATTAAAGAAGTCTCAGGCTCATGGTAAGATTGAGTTGATCTATAAAAAGACTTAGCATGAAACAAATTTATCTGTTATATGTTATGATCGTTTTGATCACAATATAAATTTATGTGTGTAAGAGTTTTTTCACGCGACTTTCTATCAATAGTTCACAACATTTGAGTGACATTCATACACATAATACAAATGTTAATATGCTTCAGCTTTATCCAACTCCACTCGACTTCACAACTACGTCCATAATATGTTTCTGGTTTCTACAGTTTACATGAGTCTTTTTTGGGATATTATTTACCATGCATAAACAAAATAGAGGAAATTACTCCTAAAGTCAAATTATAAGACTATATTTTGAAGAGAGACAAATTTTTATTTATTTCACATAGGGACAAAACTTATCTATGTGGCAGATGATGTCATAATTGTTATTTTAATTGCCTTTGCATTTATAATTTTACCTCTTTATATTTGAAGACGAGTTTATATCTCCTTATTTCTTTCCCTCCATGTAAGACGAATTTACGTCCTCTTATTTCTCTCTCTCTCCTCATTTTTCTTCAATACTTCTTTCCTTTTCTCTCATTTTCCTTCCTACTTATTTCTCCTCCTTCTTCAGCCTCCTCTCCCCTAGTTCTTCTTCATACTTCTATCTTTGTCTCTCTTCTTCTTTGTATTGTTCTCTAGATTTATGAGTTTTTCTTTTATGAGAACCATTAAGATTTTTGGTTTTTGGTTTTTTATTCTAGAATTTTTTTGAAAGTAATTGATTTTGAGGTTTTGATTTAGATGCATAATTTTGAAACTGATCTTGTAGAAGTGCATGAATTTTGAAATTGATCTTGTAGATGTATTGGGATTTTGAAACTAATTTTTCAGAAGTGTGTTGGAACTAAATTCGCTCACCTTAATAAGCGAGGGTTGAGCACAAACTTGAGCAAACTGCAAAACAGTAAATAACCGTGAGCAAGCCTTGGATCGGGGGTGTGCCGGCTAAAAGCTATCCGACGGTCAAGTTAGTAAATGATTTTATACTCAAGCAGTGGGTAAGAGAATTGAAGTGTATGAATTGCGTTACCATAGATGAACCCTAGATGGGTGTATTTATACGGTCGGAGAGGTACATTTTTAGGATATAATCCTCGTTTTAAGTTGGAAGAATCCTAGATGATATCTAGTAAGTACATATTGCATTATCTTAGGAGTTGTGATTATTTGCGGCGCACGCCTATCCCTAGATTATAGGGACTCTAAGACTTGGATCTGATTGTGTCCATGTCCGGATTAGATCGTGTGTCTTACATAGCAAGCATGGTCATCTAGCGAAGTAGCTAGTAATCCGCCTAGTGCCCATGAGTAGAGTGACGGTGTACAACTCTGCTTGGAGTTGGTGAGTCCATAACCGAACTTTTGAGATAACAATATTCATATTAGACTTACTCCAGCCCTGTAAAATCAAGGTCCCACAAAGTGCATGAATTTTGAAATTGATCTTGTGGATGTGCTGGGATTTTGAAACTAATCTTGTAAAAGTGCATAAATTTTGAAACTAATCTTGCAGATGTGCGTGAATTTTGAAACTAATCTTGCAGAATTGTTGGAATTTTCAAATTGATTTTACCGAAGTGCTGAGAATTTTGAAACTAATCTTGCAGAAGTGCATGAATTGTGAAATTAATCTTGTAAAAATTAATTTTACGGATCTAAAATTAGTTTACAGTTTTTATAAATGATAGAGTTTTGAACGAGTCTATTAGGAGCATGGCTTAGGTGCATGGCTGAAGTTTTAAAACTTTGTTTGCTTGTATTTGGGCTAAATTTGGTTGGGATTTAGGCTTGTCCTCGACTTGAGCCCTTGTATACTTTTATCTGTAATATAGGATACTCTCAATAAAGCTAAAGGCAATTGTATATTTTTCTAAAGGGACACAAGATGCAAAAGTGGGTTTGTCATTCAAACTCTAACCTTAAATTTTACAACGCAAATTAATTCCCAAATAAAGCCTTAAAAATTAAGGAAAACTAATGAAAAGTTCAAAAAAACTTTAGTTTTAATGAAAAATGACACATAAAGATGTAGTGAATAATATCAGAGAAAGGTAAAAATGTGGTTTTTGGTAAAAAATGAACAGTACCGGAAGTGTTTCGTTAAAATCCCTAAAAATTATTAGAACGCAAAAAAGGCTAATAGAAAATCAAGAAAAAAACAACGAACACAAGAAGAAAATCAAGAAATGATCACAATTCCTCTCATGGAAGACAAAACTATATGTTTTTTGAGTTTGTATTTTGTAATGGTTGAGCTTTTGTACAAATTTTATTCACTCGATTCATTCCAATGTGATTAAGTTTTTAAATTTGTAACCAATAGAATACTAAATATAAGAAAGAAAAAAAAAACCGAGGAGAATTCCAAAAAGAAAGTATGTAGAAAACAAAGTAATATGAGCTCTTAAGGTCTTCATTTTGAAGACTTTTGAGGATAAAATGCATATTAGCCACAAAGTATTAAAATATGAGAATTGTTATTAGCACTTCAAAAATTTCATTCTACACTTCTCACAAGTGTATTTTTCTTTCCTAATATAGAATGAGATTTTTGAAGTGCCAATTACACTTTTCTAAAATATTTGACAACTTAATAAAGCAGAATAAGAAAAAGAGTTTTCTAATTGCTATTTTAAGTTGGTTTTGCTTTATCAAATTGTCAAATATTTTAAGCCTTTGAACATGAATTATAATTTTGTAGCTAATATGCATTTAGTTCTCACAGAGACTCAAAATAAGAACTTTAAGAGAGCAATACTGATACAAGGAGAATGGTTTTGACATCCTACAATTTGTTGAAAGGAAAATTAATGAAAATGATTTGAAAACTTTGAGTTTTAACGATAATGACAAAATAAAAGGTAAAGTGAATAGTACCAGAATTAACTTTTTAGTGTAAAAATATGGTTTTTTGTTAAAGTAAATAATACCTGAAGTTTTTTGTTAAAATTTCCTTTGTTGAATATATTTATCCCTCTCATGATTTTATTATGAAATGACTTATATGCCATAATATAAAATAATTATTTAGACTCTCGAAGTTTTTTTTCATGCTCTCAAACCTACTTCCAACCTCCATTGAACAAAGTAAATCCTAACCACTAGTGACATAAAATAACAATTCAAAACACATGTTGGTATGGTATTTGAACATTTGTCATTTCTTTGTCATCAATTTTTGTTATGGTAAAATTCGAAAAGAAATTGGTATTATATGATAAAAAATAAATTCATTTGCAACATCTTATTTAGCAACATAATAGAAATGAAAAACCGTCCTCACTCTTCAACTTTTTTGGGGTCTTGTTTTTCATGGAGCCTCTAAGACATTTTTCGGGATTGCAACGGTCCGCAAGACTAAGGTTTAGGGTTTATGACAAAGGATTTTCCATGAATGAACAATCACATTGTATTTTTATAACGTGTTTGTAGTTGTAGGATTGCAATATTCTTTTAACATGTGTAATCTTTTAAATTTTAAAATGCACGTTTCACATGAATTTGTTGTACGTACATTTTTTAATTATTTTTATACTTCTATGGAGGACAAAAATTTCAATTCTCATTTTAGTTTAGCCTAAGATTATCACTCGAATTAAGAAAAAAAAAAACGACTGCCGCCAACAACTAATTTTTATTGAACAATTGGAGTCGGGCAACTTCGTAAATAAGGCAGCAAGAGTGTCGTTCAATAATTAATACGCGATGTAATGGATCATGATCATGATGAAATGTATGTGATGATACATGCATGTATGTGTGTGTATATATACATACATAGCATAGCATAACATAAGAATGTAGGAGAGGAGAGGAGGTGAGTGGTAGAATAGCATTTGACTTGGTTTCAGAAGAGAGAGAAGAAGAAGAAGAGAAGAGAAGAAAGAGAAAAAGGTAAAGAATGAAGAAAATTCAATCGAATCGAATACAATTTTGACGTCCGCAAGGACACACTCTCTCTCCCCCTCCTCTCTCTCTCTCTCTCTCTCTCTCTCTCTCTCTACAACTCTCTAATCTCCCTCTCTAAAGCTAAACGGCCGAAGGACAGGACTTGCGCTCAGAGCCAACGCACACTGTGAGAAAACCCTAAAAAAGAACAAAATCCCAACGCAATATTGAAGCCCAACTCAGTGAATAATCAAATATCGGGGTTTTATGCATTAGAATCTTTGTGGGTTTTGGAAAGTCTTTCTCTTTCCTTCTATCCCTCACTGTTCGAAGCTCTACTGGGTGAGTACTATATATTATTTCTTGTATGGGTTCTTTTTGTTTATTTTGTGATTTTCATTTACTAGTTGAAGTTCTTTGATCGTTGATTTGGGAAAATTTTGGTCCGATCGATGTTGTTTTAGTATATGCATTGGCAATTTTATTACTATTACTGGTTTCGTTTTGCAAAGTTCGGAAAATCTTGAGATTGTTTGTGGGATTTTGGGTGTGTAATTTGGTTTAACTTGTGTGTTAGGGTATAATCTTTATTGGGTTGTGTCCAAATTTTGTTCAATTTTGTGGCTTTTTGTTCAATTCGTGAATTGTGGTGATTTAGTTCATTTCAGGTTTTTGATTGGTGTTGTTTTTGGTTGATAGAGTGACAAGTTTCGAGATTTCTACTCTGGTTTTGGCAGAGAGTTTGATTTGTTTGTTATTTAGCTTTTTTTGCCCAAAGGCTGGAGTTATGGTGGATCTGAAAGTTCGTGTAATAAACAGAGACTCATGCGGAAGCAGGTCGGAGACTGCTCTCTTGGTGAAGATAGCGAGATTGTAGAATGTTCAGAATCAGAGCCTGTTCATTGGTATTTGGTTTCTTTGTTATTTGGCCTGTGTCTGGTAAAACTGAACACAGCGTTCCCAGACACAATGCTTACCCTTTTGTGTTGGTGCACAATAAAGACTCTGCAGCCTATGGCCTTGGATGTAGGGGTATAATGCTTTCAGAATTGAGCTCCATCCCCGAGTTTTTGCGTCTTGTTATGTAATCTAGGTTTGTGGAATTCACGTTGTTTTAGATAGATTTAGTACTTTCACCGAGTATTTCTAGATTGTGATTTTGAAAGCATGGTACCTTCGGGGTCGTCCACTCCAATTGGTGGTGCCCAGTCTGTTTCACCTTCACTTTTGCGTTCAAATTCTGGAATGTTGGGAGGTCAAGGTTCCCAGTCGGCTTTTCCCTCGCTTGCCTCACCCCGTACTCAATACGGTAATATGAATATGCTTGGCAATGTAGCCAATGTGTCTTCTCTCCTTAGTCAGTCGTATGGAAATGGAATTTCGAATCCGGGCCTCTCTGGTCCTGGTAGCAGCCAACGTGGAGTTATGGATACTGGTGCTGAATCGGATCCACTTTCTGGTGTTGGCAATGGAATGGGTTTCAATGCACCTTCTTCATCATATGGTGCATCAAACATGGCTAATCCTGGTACGTCGGGTCAAGGGCAAGGGCAACAATTTTCAAACCCTCCTGGTAACCAACTGTTGACAGAACAACAGCAGCAGCAACTTGAAACACAGAATTTCCAGCATGGTCAGCAGCCAATGCAACAGTTCTCATCCCCTCACAATACACAGCAGCAGCAACACCAATTTCAGGCTATTCGAGGAGGCTTAGCTGGTGTTGGGTCGGTAAAGTTAGAGCCCCAATTGACAAATGATCAACATGGACAGCAGCAGCAGTTGCAGTCTTTAAGGAGTCTTCCAGTGAAAATGGAACCACAGCAACTTCAAACAATGAGGAGCTTGCCACCTGTAAAATTGGAACCCCAACATTCCGATCAGCCATTGTTTTTGCATCAACAGCAGCAACAACAACAGCAACAACAAATCCTCCACATGTCAAGGCAGTCTTCTCAGAATGCCCAGATGAACATTATGCATCAGCAGAGATTATTGCAGTTACAACAACACCATCAACAGCAACATAACCAGCAACAGCAACAACACCAGCAACACCAGCAACACCAGCAACACCAGCAGCAGCAATTCTTGAAAGCAATACCTCAACAGCGCCCCCAATTACAGCAGCAGTTTCCACAGCAGAATCTGCCCATGAGATCTCCTGCAAAACCAGTATATGAGCCTGGAATGTGTGCTCGGCGTTTGACACATTATATGTATCAGCAACAACATAGGCCTGAAGTAAGATACCTACATGCCTAATTTGTTAAGTCTGTTGGATGATTGTTATGGTTAGTGATGATGCCTACTTTTTATATAGGACAACAACATTGAGTTCTGGAGAAAATTTGTTGCTGAATATTTTGTACCCCATGCGAAGAAGAAGTGGTGTGTTTCTATGTATGGAACTGGCCGACAAACAACTGGCGTTTTTCCTCAGGTCTGTATCTAGGATACCGTAATATGGTGAACCCCATCTATGTTGACATCTGTACTAGTAAAATGAGATTAATTGCAAAATATATGCAGCATGGGTATTGGTATCCACATCTTTTTTGAGGTTACTTTATTCCTCAATGTCATGGTAGCTATTACATTATTTGAAATACATTTTCGGTTGGTGTTACGTGAATCATGAGCTATTTGACAATCATAAGTGCCATATTTTGCAGGATGTATGGCACTGTGAAATATGCAATCGCAAGCCTGGGCGTGGCTTTGGTACGTTAGACTTTCTGTTTTGGAGAATTATCCTTTTGTGCCTATCAATGTCATATCTTAGAGTCTTTGGATAGATGCCAGTGTTAATTTTGATGCTCTATGTAGGTGCTTTGTTCATGTTCTTTTCTCTTTTGCAACTGGTATCTGATTATTCTGATCAAATTTTCAGAAGCGACTGTTGAGGTTCTTCCCCGGCTTTTTAAAATCAAGTATGAAAGTGGTACTTTGGAGGAGCTTCTTTATGTTGATATGCCGCGTGAGTATCATAATTCATCTGGCCAGATTGTGTTAGACTATGCTAAAGCGATACAAGAAAGTGTTTTTGAGCAACTTCGTGTTGTTCGGGATGGTCAACTTCGGATAGTATTCTCTCCAGATCTGAAGGTAAAAACTGTTTTCATATCACCATTTACCTTGCTTCACCCGGTTTTTATCAACTGTCTCTGTCTTTTGGCAGATATGCTCTTGGGAATTTTGTGCAAGGCGCCATGAAGAGCTTATCCCTCGAAGATTACTGATACCTCAGGTTACTTATCAAATTTCTTCTTGTGATGGGTGCCTTTCTCCATTATTGTTATGAATATAACTTATTTTTCTTTTCTATGGGAACATTTCAAAACAAAGAATATAATATACTGATTTGTTTAGAACCCTTGTTTCATTGACAACTGGACACTTAAATGATTGAACGCTATTAGGTGATGGGTTATTTTGTGCTCAAAATTAAGTTCTAGGAACAGGGTTAAGTAATCAAATTGATTTTTTTTACTGATTGTTTTACCCTTATGCTTTCATGACAAGGGGGTTTCTGTTCTCTTTGTGTCGCAAATTGAAAAACTTCCAAATTCATCTATTCAAACCTCTTTTTGTGCAAGAACAAGTACATTGTTTGGATGAAATAGGACTTAATTGTATGGAAAATATCGAGAACTAAATATCAAATCCTAAACTTATTATTGTTCCACCAGTTGTTCAAGGAGCAACTGCATTTGTGAGTAAAGAGCATTTTATAGGATGCACCATTAGCCAAGTGTTGCACAGTGAATTGGCTTAATGTCTTTTCTTTGGAGTTGTATGATTTTGGGATTGGGTAACAATTATATCTTGAAGGATCATATGGATAACTTTCCCTTGTGTACATGTCATATTAATCTCATCCTGTGGTTACATATTTATTTTATGTCCAAGCCTCCATGGCACCTCTTTAGTGTGATCCCATTGCCAATTCATTATCTTGTGTTTTGTAATTGAGAAGGTAGATGCTTGTGCCGAATGCTGTACTGCTAGTCTTCTGCTGAATGCACAGAAACATTGGCTCAAATTCAAGTCTGAGTCTAATTTGATTAAAAATTTCATTGTATATATTAAATATTTAGTAATGTTATATAATAACTAGTGGTTTTAGTAAATGATTTATAAATGTGAGATTCAGGTCGGAGTGGTCTGGCTTATGTGTTTTGGACATAAATCTCGATTTTACCAAACTAGCACAATTCTTGACATTCCCTATCTGTTGTATGTGATGCTAATTTTGAGTATATGTACCAGTCATATAGTACTTTGCATATCTAATGTTTACTTGCCTTATGCAGGTTAGTCAGCTTGGTGCTGCAGCTCAAAAATACCAGGCTGCTACTCAAAATGCATCATCCAACATATCTCTTCCAGAGATACAAAATAATTGTAATATGTAGGTTCTTAATCTCTCTCTCATTTTTGTTAATATTTGAGTTTATTTTTTGTTTTTTTCCTGACAATGTTTGAGCTTTCAAGTGGTGTTTTTTTATTTATAGAGATTTGGCTAATAATTGATGTTGATGGCTTGTTTCTGATGGGTGAATGTTGAATTGTCCTTATGCCAGTTTCTGCTCTGTATCTCTCTGTTTATCAGTTCATTTTCCGTACACACACTTATTCATATGTATAGTCTCACATATCTAGTGGAGTCATCAGCAGGCAATGCTTTTCTTGAAGATGAATGCTGCACATTGCCTCATCTATTTTTTTATTAATGCCACAAAGTTGTATGTTCTTTATTACTTGTATCAGGACTTTTCCAGAAAAATGAAACTTGTATCAGGACAGACACTACAAAAGATATTTAATTTTGCAATTACATTGTGCTTTCATCATTTAGATCTTAATGATACTATGAGCCTATGTTCGGAAATCACCTGCCTACATTTCAACCTTTATTCTATGCAGTGGTGGATTCGTCTTTTTCAGTTTAAAGTGTCTAAACAAATAAATGGTGGATTTGGAATTTATGATATTTGTTTAATTCCTGTTGTGTAATTTTTGTTTAGGTTTGTATCGTCAGCTCGACAGTTGGCAAAAACCTTGGAAGTGCCATTAGTAAATGATTTAGGTTATACAAAGCGATATGTAAGGTGTCTTCAGGTAATTTCTTAATCACTGGAGAGTTTATGTATCATCTTTGGCTTTGAGATGCGCTTCTATTTTACATATAATGCTGCAATATTTATTTGTGTTTGACAGCCTTTCCTTTATGCCAAATCTACTCAGTGTTCATTGTATCTGCCTTGGGATCATACTCCTGATATAAATTGTATATGTTAAATGTATCCTCCTATAACACCCGAAATATAGTTTCATATATTTACATTGGACACGTGAAGGGGAAAAATGATATTTTGACTTATTACAACCGTAAATTTCTCATCCAGTTTATCTTTTTTCTAGATAAGCTATGTTGGGCTGTGTTTATTCATGGTTTTGTCCCAAGATTCTAATAGTGAAGTGATGGATTTCTACTTATTTGTCAGCTTTTACCAGAAATGCCTTTGTTTCAAAACAAATTTCTTACCAATATTTTGTCTCTTCTTCCTCATTAAGTGTAATATAATATCATATATTTTCAAACAAATTATGTTCATAAGTTAGGGTCCTGTTTCAGTGAACCATGTAACTGAGGTTGCTTGTAGCCTGATTGACCATTTTGTTTTGTTTTTCTTTTTAATATATCTTTTTTGGGGTGCAATGCAGATATCAGAAGTAGTTAATAGTATGAAAGACTTGATTGATTACAGCCGAGAGACAGGGACTGGACCTATGGGTAAGTTTGATTTTTCTATGTTAACTAAATTACTAATGATGGTACAAATTTCTGATTTTTTTTTTCTATTCATTCGTTACTTTATAGAGATATGATAGGGTTTAGAACTATTTACTTGTCACATAATAAGACTTAAAGAGTTAACTATTTGTTCAAAAAAAAAAAAGTTACCTTATGACTTTTAGAACTCAAATATAAATTTCTTAAGAATAACAACTTGGCCTGCAGTGGAGTAGATTTGGGCATGTAGCTTTGCCGTAACTGAGTGGAAGAAGAGTATGAGAACTACTGACCTGGTGCCTAGAAGCGATAGGCAGATTGGGATAAATCTGCTTATAGTTGGTTGTGTTGGGTTTGAAGTCGTGGGTTTTAAGAAACAAGGGTTTAGTATACGTAAATTTATTAAAACTGGAAAAGATTGTTGAATCTGGACAGGTAAAATTTGTGGAAACTGAGAAGAATGCTTGCTGGACATTAAAGTATGACTCAATTAAAGAGCTGATGTAATCCTAGATTACTCGTAACTTGAACTTCAAAACCATAGAGGAATTTTTTTCTCATTGCCCACAAGTCAAGATTTTTTATTTTCTGAACGTAAAAAATTATAAGCTATTTAGCAGTGCGATCTTCTCTTTGTTGTTTTCTTCAGCAATATGTATTCATAAAGTGTATAATCTGCTTAGGTCATGAGTCTTTAAAACAATACACAATTTCTAATAATAACAGAAGGTTAAAAAAGGATAGGAGAAAGTAAAGCACGAAAGCAAGAAATACATAAAAGTTTATTGCTGAAATATGCTGTTAAAAGCTGGCAACTGTAAGAGGTAGGGGAAGGAGATTGAGGAAAGAATGTCCTGGTGTGGTGAGTAACAATGATTTGAGAGCAAAAAGAAGACAGAGTTATCTTTGTGCGAGTGAATGAGGCTGCTGCTAGATTACCAAGCTTCTACAAGATAGATATTTTTTTTGCGCCTAGAATTGATTTTCCCTGTGCTTTTCTCACAGATTCTTTTGAAGAGATTCTCAAATGCTTCAAACCCCATATGAATGTTTGGAATTGTAGAATAGGAAAAGGAGAAAAAGCTAAAGAATTCGAATGTAATTGGCTCCCTTGCAACTCTAAAATCTAGATGAAAACCGCCTGAACTGGTTCTCATAAAAGCATAAAATCCGGATTGCTTCAATTAGGATCCAGATGGTCCCTTGTCATTTAACAATTCAGACCAAGATGTAAACTTGATTCTTTAATTGTTAGCTCTAGGATAGTGGGTGTGATAGTGATTGGGCAATTCCCTTTTTCTTATGTGTTTTCCGGAATCATCTTATAAAATTTGTTTGCACATACCTACATATATATGCTCAGTTTGAAGCATTATATTGTGGTCCACTTGGTAGTTACAATCCATTATAGTCGTATAAGTCATTACTCTAGGCTCGATACTTACAATTCATTATACGTTAGCAGCTTCACTGTAGTATAGTTTGGGTGCACATGTGTAGTTCATTGCTATTGTTTTCTGTCAGAGAGCTTGGCCAAGTTTCCTCGAAGGACGAGTGCTTCGTCTGGCTTTCACAGTCGAGCACAGCAGTCCGAGGAGCAAATGCAGCAGCAACAGCAACAACAAACGATCGGCCAGAATTCAAACGGAGATCCAGGCTCTGTCCAGGCCGCTGCTACACAAATTGCTGTCAGTAATGGTATTGCGAGTGTAAATAATGCTCCAAACACAGCATCCACATCTACCTCTGCAAGCACCATTGTTGGGCTCCTCCATCAGAATTCAATGAATTCCAGACAGCAAAGTTCTATGAATAACGCAAACAGTCCCTATGGAGGAAGTTCTGTTCAGATTCCATCCCCTGTTTCTGCTAGTGCAATCCCGCAGATGCAACCAAACTCTTCTCCATTCCAGTCACCAACACCCTCATCAAATAATCCTTCACAAACATCTCATGGTGCCAATCACATGAGTACAGCAAATTCACCAGCAAATATATCCGTGCAACAGCCAACCCTATCTGGCGAGGCTGATCCAAGTGATTCCCAGAGCTCTGTCCAGAAACTTATACACGAAATGATGATGTCCAACCAACTTAACGGCCCAGGTAGTATGGTCGGTGCTGGTTCTTTGGGAAACGATGTGAAAAACGTGAATGGGATTTTGTCAACAAGCAACAACACAGGATTGAACGGCATGACTAACAATAGCTCGGGCATTGGGGGTGCTGGATTTGGGAGTATGGGTGGCGGACTTGGTCAGCAGCCTGCCATGGCGAATGGAATAAGAGCAGCAATGGGAAATAATTCTGTTATGAATGGAAGGATCGGAATGGCATCAATGGCTCGAGAACAAAGTATGCATCATCAGCAACAGGATCTGGGGAACCAGTTACTTAGTGGGCTTGGAGCGGTGAACGGTTTTAATAATATTCAATTTGATTGGAAACATTCTCCGTGAAAGGCTCTGTTGATCATGTTGATGGCTCGTTTCACCGTTTCCTGATATAGCTGCTGCGCAGCATGAGAAACCGCAGGAGTTGCCTCTGGCCCCGTGGAAGATGGCAGTGCTGGGATGAAATGAAATACTTGACAGGGCTTTCGCTCCCACTTTGTACTAATCTGTTACTTATATATAAAAGAAGGAAATTTGGTGGCTGGTTGTGGCTGAAGAGGCTCATTTTCTTGTGGTTTTTAAATGTATTTCATTTTTTTTTTTCTTGTTTTGAAATCTCGTCATAGTGGTATACAACGCATCGTTTTTTAGTATTAACAACTTTTTTCCCTATGAGTAGAGATGTCAAAGAGTGCAAATGGTTTCCTACTTGGCTGTTGATCGTTTCTTCCAATCCTAAAGATTGTATTTCTGACCTATTCGTTAGGCATGTATTTTTGTTATTTCCCAATCTCACTCAGTTGGGGTTTCAGTTCTACATGTCAAAGGTCATTAGTTACCAAGTGTAATTTTAGGCTTTTCTTCGATTTGATTGCATGTACGTTCGTTGGTTGACCTGCTTTGAGTGACAAGGCAATTACTGCCACCAGTATTGGTGGCAACTTGGTGCCAATCAATTATTCATCAGATGCATATAAATTTAAGAGTTATGCTAGGAAGATCAAATGTTTTAAACCAAATTGCACCAATAATAAATAAGTACGTTGATCAACACTTAATTAATAATCTAATCATCTACAACCATATCATTTAGTTTGCAAATTTAATTTAAAAAATTTAGTTTACCTAGCATTACTCTAAATTTAATAACCATTTTGATTTTAAGTTTTCGGTTTTCACTGGTGCTCGAGATATGAGAGATGTGAAGGAAATGAGAGACGAAGGGTGGAAGAATGTAAAGGAAATGAGAAATGAAGGTGGTGGGAAGGACCGGAAGACACAAGAATCAATGAAAATAAAATCGTGAAGGTGAAAACAAAGAAGAAAGAATGTAATAGTTTGGTTTTTGGTGTTTAGTTTTTAGTTTGTGTACACTTACTACATTTGTTGTGCATCTCTTTCATCATTCTTCTTCAACTCTTCTGTATACTTTAGTTTCACCTATGTATTTTCTCTCTTATCTCTAACACAATGAAAACTAAAACGAAATGGGAAACAAATAATCTCCAAATATGAAAATAAGCATAAGCTTGACAACTAATGTTTCTCGATATTTTTCACAAGCTTTTCACCTCTTTTACTTTGATTAACTGTGTCTACCAGCTATTCTCTTAATCTAGTGATACAATTTTTTTTTATTTTTTATAATGTATAAAGTTATAAATTCCTATATCTCTCATCCCCTTGATTTAAAACAAAGTTGTAACCAAATATTATTATTATTCTTTTAAATCAAAATAGCGAATTTCACTAGATAAATTCCAATAGTACAACTAAGAGTATTAATCACCTCTAATCTTGGGAGCTATTAGTATGACTCTCAAACTCATTATGCACTTCTCCGTAGTGTTGTTTCCTTCCTAACTTTCTTCATGAAAGGAGTGCAGGTTGACTATTTTAGAGTGTCAATAACGACATCCCTGATCTCTTGTTTAAAGTTGATTTTTTCACATAAGACAAAATTTTTAGGGGATATTCTTTCAATGAAAGTTTGAGTGGGAAAATTTTGCATAAAATAAGAAGAATTAAGAGAAAGAAACACCAATAAAGATGGAAATAATGTGCATAATTCGAAGGGAGAAGTTAATTGAAGATTAAAAATGAATAGCTTCATGAGCACAAGCATGGAAGTCTATTATATACATGATTTGATTAAAGATCTACATATTTTTCAATGGTTGCAGACAATGTGGACTTTGGCACTGCACCAATAACGCTCTCTTTCTTCTCCCCGTTCTTGAAGAAGAGCACCGTTGGTATGCTCCTTATACCGTACTGAGTGGCAGTGTTGGGGCTCTCATCTGTGTTGAGCTTGAAACACGATATCTTCCCGGCGTACTCTTTTGCCAATTCATCGATCACCGGAGCAATCATCCGGCACGGTCCACACCACGGTGCCCAAAACTCCACCAGAACTGGGTTCTCACTTGCAATCACAAGAGTATTCCAACTTGAATCATTCACCACTTGAACTGCATGCAAATTTTGCACATTTCAGTGAAGTCACTAATTTCATATATGTGCATGCTCTTTGTATTAAATGGGGTAAATGTGACATCTTCTTTTCTTCCAAACAAAAGTACTTTGAGGATTGGTTTTGACTTGTGCGAATAGATGAATTTAAGTGAAGGATATCCACAATGTGTAGCGAATGGAATATTCTCGCATGCGATGAGTATATACATCTTTATTAAAATAATTGGTCACTTGACAAACACAAGTCGGCATATGAACTATCCATAAACAATTTATGATTGTAGTTGCCTGCGACACCCCTAACCTTTATTTATTTATTTGTGAAACCCTTTAGTTGTTCATCATACTAAAATGTATTGTTGTTTGTTCTTCTATTTGCCATGTTCACACACACACACACACACACACATATCGTACTCTATTTGCTCCATATATATGCAGCTATACAGAATTTAAAGGACTCCTAAAAGATATATAAAGCTAGAGTTACCTTCATTGACAGCTTCACGAGCTTTGCAAATAAAGCGAGATTTCTGTGATTTGCCGGAACGAGGAAACGATGAGGATGATGACGAGAATTTCAAAGCAGATTTCTTCAATCCATTGGAAGTTGGCACAACAAACTTGTCCGTGGAAGAAAATGGATGGTGTGCAGCAGCACCAACTCTTGTAGTGCACACTGTGCTTAGCTGCAAGCAGTTCTCCAAAGCCATTACTCTCTCCTTCTTTCTTTATCTGGTGGGAGCTAACTAGCTAGCTATATTTTTACAATCAAATAATGGAACTTCTTGTGTTTTTCTGTAAATTCCACAAATCTGTTTCTTTGAATTTCTTATTTGCCAAAGGTTTGTATATATTTTTTGAATATTTTTGGAAGTGTGGATATTATACAGAGATTGTAAGGTGCTAAGTGTGCTGGGATGTATGTGGATAATATTTTCATGTACTGAACTGTCCATATGCCCCACTTGATGCCCTCTACAGAAATTCTCAAAACTCGGTTTTTATTTTTGTTACACGGAGGCACAACTATAATATAGGGATTCAACATGAAAAACGGAAAATCGATTGTCGACCTACCTAACACAATTTATCTTTCTTATCTGGGCTTGGGATTGGCATCGTAAGATAAATTTGCACATGTGAAATTTGTGGAGGAAAAACTTGCATAGACGAAATTTATGGAATAAGACTTGATTGTTGTTGTTGTATACAAAGGCAAAACTCTCAAATTTCAATGCAAGAAAAACAGAAGAAATATTATAATCATGATAATATGAGTCGGTGTATATATTATAATAAAAGTGGACGAAAGTATTAAAATTTGAGTGAAATGTTAAAGCGACGTGATTGTCTTTAGATTCATTGAAAAATTGCCAAAAAAAATCCAGAGAAAGAAGCAAAAGTAGAATTATTAGATTTTATTTTATCGTTACTGGTGGGTGGACCATAGACTTATCATTTTTTCTTCTTCTTTTCCTTCTTTTAAAATGTATGGTCATTATCCATCAGACAGCTTTAGCAGGATTGGCCCATTTAATTTTAAATAAAACTAATGAAAATGATTTTAAATCTGAGTTTTAACGATAAAGATAAAATAAAGGGTAAAGTAAATAGTACAAGATTGACTTTTTAGTGTAAAAATGTGAATTTTCGTTAAAGTTCCCTTAATTTTAACCCAATGAACAAAATTACTGTCATTTCATGATTGAGCAATGCTTTGGTTTCACCCTAATAAAATATCTCCTACACATTGGGCACCCAAACAGAAGATTTACATTTTTTGGCAAGAATAATGCTATATTTACCACATTTTTCAAACCGCATTTGTATTACCTCTTTAATACAAATAGGACCCACCAATGCATGTTGGTCGCATTTCTTTTAGAGAGGTGGTATGGGTTGTTTCATGCAGCTCTTGGTATAATGCCTGTGCTTCAAAAATAAATTACACGACGGAAATCAAGCACATGAACGGGGAGACTTCGGGCTGGTTTGGTATTGCTGTGCTTTGAAAAAAAACTGCTCTAAGAATAAGCGGATGTGCTGTGAGAATAAGCGGCTGTGAAATAAATCAGCAAAGTGTTTGGTAAACTTTTTTGTAAAAGTGCTTTTGGAAAAAAAAAAAAAGTCTAATAGTGGGTCTTTTCATTAAAGAAGCACTATAGCTCCGTGTGCTTTGAAAAAAAAGCCAGTTTTCCAAAGCTGCAAATAGCAGCTTCAGCTTTTTCTTTGATTTCAGCTTATTCTCACAGCAACTTCTAAAATAAGCATTTTTTTTTTCAGTTTACCAAACACCTAAAACTCTCACAGCTTTTTTTCATAGGTGCTTTTTTTTTAAGCACCTCACTCCCAAACTAGGTCTTCGCTCCATCAGATCTATAAATCTTTTTACAGATCAAGGAGACAACTCGAGTGAAACTATATATAAGCCTGCACATTCAGTTTTACACTAATCTGTCACGTCCTTTCTTGTGGTGTTGGTATCTGGGTTTTCTTCATTGTCTATGTTGCAACCAACGTAATTGCCATAACAATCACTGAAACACCCAGATGAGGGTGCAATTCATGTAACTGAGTAAAGATTTCGTGTTTTCTTGACAACAGGAACGCGATAGATACCCTCTTTTGAAGCCAAAGAAAGAAAAAAAGCCGGTTAAAACTGCGTACTCTCAGTTTGATATGGTGGCAGCCTCCAGGAGAGGCTGATCCCTAATTAATGCTTCCCAGTCGACTTCTCTCAAAAGTTTGAACCTTTCATCTAACGTCACAAAACCGGCTTGAGGAGCGATAATACCAGACTTTCCAGCTTTGTGCAGTAAAAGCACGCTAGTCCCCATATCCGGGCCATGCAACTTTCCTGTTAACAGCACTCGGAGAGGCATGAACAGTGATTTCCCCTGAGATTAGGATATCAAATGAACAAAACTTTCAGTTCATTTTCCAGTAACGAAGGAATGTTTGATAAAGGTCAAAAAAAAAAAAAAAAAAAAAAAAAAAAAAAAAAAAAGTGAACAAAAATAAGCCCACCTTGCGCTTTAGTGATTTGCCAAAGCTCTTAACCCACTTTTGCCAACCAGCATGGCCTTCTTCAAGGGCACCAATGAGTTCGCCGCTGTCATAAGCAGCAATGAAACTTGCAGCAAACTCAGAAAGTTTGTCTTCTAAGACTGGTTTGGCTTCAACACTGCAGCCAGGAGAGACAAAATCATGGTTAACAACATACAGTATTCTGTTAACATCAACAGCCAACAACCATCCCCGGCTTCAACACAAATTACAAGTCACGAGTAAACCAAATATGATG